TCTCGTTTTCAATCCAGACACAAACAAGTTGCCTCAGACGTCCGCCTTCAGTCTAACAGTACAATGAATTAGAAATAGAAAAGAGAAACACACTGCACATTGAAATCACTAACCGAGGCAGTCGAGAACATGCCACAAAGCTCTTCAGTGAATATCCTTAGACAAGCCCAATATTCCATTTGTAAGTGGATAGAGGGTTCGTGGGAGATGGCATCGCCTAGAAGGTAAGCAAGGAATTTTCTGCTTTTGAAGCGTTAAAGGCAATGCTTTCGTTGCCTTTGACGAAGATGCCAAATGACAACGAAAATTTGAAGATCAAGCAGCCATGCCTGCGCGAAACGGTCTATTTACCACCAAACACATGGGCTCAATCATGAAGTTACGGAGGCCATTTCAAGTAACAGGCCGACTAACGTCAGCGAACAAGTAACTGGAATGCAAAGCCTAGAGGTCTACAGAGTTCGACTTTGAAATTTCAGCAAGCCGTTGGTTGGAATCTATAACACTGCCATGAGAAACCAGTGTAGATGAGGCTGACACAGAAAAGTGAACTTCGAAGCTCCGAGTAAAATGAGCATCGTCATCAACATTTTGGAGAAAATGATTGGAGACTGATGAATTTAAAGTACCGATACAAGTCCCCATGCTATCATGCAATTCGACAGGATTTGGGAGGGTCTGTCAAAGTAGAAGGCGAAAAATACTAAAATGTCAAAATGTACCTGAGTTGCCAGGAGTAGCGCTGTGTCGAAATGTCGTGGATTTTATGGTGGAAGATAGATTGGATGATGAGTCAGTGACCTCAGCAAAATCGCCGCACTTCTCCTCCTCGTCTTCTTCATCACTCCAGACCACTTTGAAATCACTATCACTGACAAGAGCTCTGGCATCTTCATTTGGTTCAAAAAAGGTCAACTCCGCTCCCCCACTCGAATTTTTTGAACTCAAAAGGTAAAGGGTGGAGAGAATCGAGTGAATGGAGATAAAGAGGTGAATGTCATTAGATGGTAAAAGTAAACTACTTACTCGGGGACAGGTAAATCAACTTTTCGCCCATCGGTTCTAACAACATCAGCAGGAGGGAGATGAGGGAGCCTACTAAGAACCTCGAGTGTGAGGGCGGGACAGCCGATGGTATTGTAGTGATATGCAGTACGGAAATACAAGCGCCTATCCAAGAGCCTTAAATGATTCTGAATTTCATCGCTTTCGTCTACCAGTCGCAGGTGGCGAACCACTAACGGGTGCGAGCGAATGTATGTGTAGAGCTTAAAAACCGATGGGCACACCTCAAAATCAAATGCATTGCAAAGTACTGTAGAGGCCTGGGACGACGACGAGATATCCGCGATCTGAGCAGACGGCTTTCGAACCAGAGTGGTCAAGGCATTTAATGGTTCCATCTATAACGAACATCAACAGCAGGAATCTTAAAATGTAACTTCCGCTTTGATTAAAAAGTGGTTCAAAGACTGGAGCTAACCAGAACCCAGTAGGCGATGCTGCGAAGGTAGGGATCCTCATGGACAACGACGTGAGTGCGAAGGAGTTTATGATAAGGAGACACTCCCGATTCGTTAAACTCGGGGCGACTTAAGGAATACAATCTGTGAGAACAAAAGCAAATGCAACACAAGAACGCCCCAATGCA